CTCAAGTAGTTTATAGTTGTGCATATAATGAAAAATTGACTTGCTTTATTCGTAAACCTCCCCAAAAAATCCCGTTTGTTAATGTTTTAGAATCACTTAAAAGAGGTTGGAATAGACAGAGTAGGCATCGTTGAGGCATCTCTCAGTCTTAAATAAGACTTGTTTTTGTGATAACAAAATTGATAGATTTATTGAGCCAAGTCAGATAGCTCTTGGGCAAAATGAGCTAAAAGTTCCATAGTTGGCATTATTAGTCACACATTGCAGCCTTGTTTCAGAGAATATTTAATTGGAGAAAAATCTGATTGCTATATAGACGATGTGTTGGGGCTATATATAGTTACTAACCTTTTCTCACACACAGATTACCACTCTAAGATTACTGTTAGTTAAAGTTTTACTGCACATAATTCAATCATTATCTTACAAATTGTATAAGACCTTATATTGCTTCATAGCACAAATTGTTATTGAATTTAAAATGGGAAAAGTCCTAGTGAATGGAGTTTAGTTGACAGAACGTCAAGTGTTGTAGTTCACTGTCCCAGTAGATCTATTGACAATCAGATCAATTTGATGTGTTATTGAATTTCTTTTTAAAGTATTTGCAGCATGAACTGCTGTACATATTCTGTAAGATGAGATAGTTTCTTTGAGACTTAATCTTGTTACCATTTAAATCCATACTCTATGTACCTACTTCCTTTTCTACTTTTTAGTAACTAATTTCCTTAGCATAGTCTTCAGTGCTTTCTGTTCTGCATGGTCTAAAACTCAGTACTACCTGAGATTCAGTCCTAAGATTGCTTTTAAATAAGTAGGATCACAAAATGGCAACTAATGCACACTGTTATTTAATAAATCTTGAGGTTTGTTATTGTGCTTTTTCTTTCTTACCGTACATTCTTTATTAGTTGGTTATCTATGACTATGGCCTTCTTTTGTGATCTTGTTTGTCAAGTCCTTTTGAAGTATTATCTCATTTGATCTTTACCTCAGCTGTGTATGAGAAGTTATGTTAACTATTTAGATGGGAAGCTGAGGCTCAGAGCAAAGTAAATTACTGGCTCAAAAATAGTTAAGTAAGTAGTGCAGTAGGAATTTGAACCCATTTCTTCTAGAGTTGAAGAAATCACACTGTACTTCACTGTCGCTAGCAAAGAATAGTATAAAACTAGAAACTGTTTCACAGTTAACATGTGAATCATAGCAGGAAGGATTTAACTTCCTACTCAGTTTTTGCCTTTTTAGGGAAAAAAATTGACACCAACTTTTGTGGGTGAGACTTGTTCCATTTGGTTTGAATTTTATTCTTTTTTCTTCCTATAATTTGTGCTGTGGGTTTGTTTGGGAAATCAGTGCCATATAGTGAAATAATTATGCATCTTTTCATTGTATCAAAATCGATTAGAATTTGAGACATATCAAACTGTTTCAAAAAGTTTTTCACACCTAAAAGCTTATTCTATAATGTCCAATTAAATCATATAATTGGTCAGGCCACATCATGTGTTTAATATGTACATTTTAAAAAAAGTATCTGATTTTGAGGGTGAACTGAAGATGAGGAAATGAATAACTGTAGCTATCTCTCTGACAGCACTTGAGAATGACTTTAAAGCTATTTTGGGATATGGTCTTGGAGGCCCTTCTGGCAGCTTTTTATAGCTTTGAATAGAGCTGCTACTATTTTGTATAATCAGGGAGTGGTGTTTCGGGGCTCTCGGACTTCAGCTTTATCCTTTTTTCCAGTCTCCCTCTTTATGGCTTTCTAAATATAGAGAGACTTGGGGCAAAACAAGAGGAGGGTGGAGGTGAAGAGAGGTCAGAAATGAAGGGATTTTAGTACTATCCAGTTCTTTCCTCATTCCTTTTCTCCTGCTGTTCATCCTTAATAGCTTTACTTTTTTCCTAAAAATGAAGACCAGCCTCATTTGTTCTAGTTACATGTTGGAGGACTTCCCAAGATGGGAGAGGTTTCATTATTGCCTCTTGAGATTTTTTTTTTTTAATGCTCTAAAAATGTTTTACTTTGAACCTTAAGAACATTTTGCTGAACGTAGTTAACAACATTTTAGTTTTTCATTTGACCCTGCATTGCCACGATTAAAACAAAACGAAACAAAAAAACTAGTCTTGAATTAAAATACTAAAGGCATTACTTTAAATGACTATGGATGGGTTCAACACATTTTGGGGAAGGAGTTGATTTTGTTATCAGCATCTTATGACTATTTTCAGTATGTGACTGCTGACAGAGATCTTTTTTTTAGTATATGCACTGTAGGCTGTAGAATGAATTGGTGTAAGGTGTATAATTTTTCATAAGTGAAAGCAGTGTAAGTGCAGTATTTTCTTTCATTCATTGGTTTTCCTACCTAAAAGCTTAGATACAGCAGTGTTCTGAACATTTTTGACTACTCATGCCTATTCAAAACGTTGAAAATGTATTACTAATACATACAATTACACATACTATTGTCAGTTTGTATATTGAATATTAACATTTTATGAGTAAAAATAAATTATAAACAGAAGTTAATTTCTTCTCACACCTGAAGTGATCCTTTTGTTTTCCTGTGAAGTGCACATCCTGCTTTGAATAACACTGCTTTAATGTTAAAGATGAAATTCCGAGTTTATTCCTCATTCTTTGTAACATCAAATAGATTCATAATTCAGCAAGTATTTATTGGATATCTATGGTGCCAGGCATTCGTCTAAGTGCTGAGGATATCACAGTAAACAAAACAGATGCAAGCCTTTCCCTTTATGGCACTGCCATTCTGAACAAAATAAGTGAGCTGTGTAACATATTAGTAGTGCTTTGGAGATAAAGTAGGGGGCCAGGGAAAAGGAGGGTGTGAGAGGGTGGGTTGGGGTTTGCAGCTTCAGTTATGGAGCCTTCACTGAGAAAATGCATCTGAGTGAAGATCTTAGGAGCTGAGGGGGTGAGCCATATAGAAATTTCAGGGAAGAAGAACAATTGCAAAGCCTGAGGGCGCAGTATTCTTGGCAGGTTGAAGATCTACAAAGAAGCTACTCTGGCTGGAGCACAGCAGGTGGAGTGGAGGTAGGAGGGGGAAGCATAGCTGAAGATGAGTGAGGTGGGTGGAGTAAGGGGATCATATAAAGCCTCTTCGGGGAGGGGGGGCATTATAAGGACTTTTATTTTTAAAGGTCTGTGGAATACAGCCCCGAGAGGGAGGAGGGAGCAAGGTCAGAAACAGGGAGAAAAGTGAGGTGGCTCTTACAGTATGCCAGGTGAGCGCTGGTGGTGGTTTGGAATGGCATGTAGTGGTGCACAGGTAAGCAGCAGTCAGTTATGGGTAGATGTCAGCATCCAAGCTAACAGAATTCGCTGACCAGCTTAGATGTGTGGGTTATGAAGGGAAAGGAAGATCAGTTGGAAGGATGGGTTTATGGTCAACTGACATGAAGGAAGGCTTTGGGGGAGGGGCAGGTAGAGGGTGAGGATGGTCATGCTAAGGTGCTTATTTGCTTATTAGACATTCAAGAGGAGCTGTCAAATAGGCAGTTATGGATAGAAGAGGCACAGTCAGCGGAGAGATCTGTACTGCATGTGAACTTGGAGACACTTCAGATGTACAGTGTGCTTTTAGTATTTAAATTCATTGGACTAGATGAGATCACTATGGAAGTGTGTAGACAGAGAAGCAGCCCTGGGACAGAGCCCCGGCACACTTCATCGATGGGATGTTGGCGAGACAGGGAGGAACCAGCGCGGAGAGTGCTGCCAGACAAATAGGAAGAGAGAGCCAGGGGAGTGTGGCTCCAGGAAGTTGGGTGAAGCCAACCAGTTGGGTAAAGATGTTGCATTTAGGTCAAGTAAGATGACGATTGAGCACTGACCATTGATTTAACCATGTGGGTATCATTGGTGACCTCAAAGAACAGGTTAGTGGCCAAGCCTGATGGGAGATTTGTGTTCAAGATAGGAGGGGAGGAGAGAAATTTGGAGACAAGCAAGTACAGATAACTTTCAAAGAGGAGCAAAGCCATGGGGCAGAAGCTTGTGGGAGCGTCAGGTCAGGGTCCTTGTCTCTTATTGGGAGAAATGACAGCAAATTTGTACACTTTGGGGAAAGATCCAATAAAAAGGGAAAAACTGATGATTCAGGAGAGGAAAAAACTCCTTGAGTGGGTGAGGAGATAAGATCTAGTGTTCAAGAGGAGAGGTTGACCTTAGCCAAGAGTGAACCCCATTTCATCTATAGTGCCAGGAGAGAATGGTGCAGAAATGCATGTAGGTGTACAAATGCTGCAGAGGGGACTTCAGGAAGTTTAGGCTTTGTCGTGAAATAGAAAGCAGTCATTGGCTAAAAATGAAAATGGAGATGTTGGAGGTTTGAAGAGAGAAGAGGAAGAATGTTACGGTTTTTTAGGAGAGAGCCTGAAATATGGAAAAGAGAACTAATGATATGACAGTTGGAGAGCAGTAAGGGTCCCTTTGAGGTTTGTCATCAGTCATTGCTCTAGCCCTCCAGTGTTTAGATCCTATGCATTTGTCCCTCCTTCGTTCCACTGTATTTTTCAGAGGAGGGATTTTCAGTGGCTTTAAAACTAATTTTACTTTTTAAACCACTTGGTTTTGGTAGAGTTTAAACAGGGCGAGTTGCCTTATCTGTATGGTAACCCTAGTGTTATTTTCTTTCTCCTTTTTCATTCTTTTCTGTTCCTTGGGAATAAAATCAGTTTCATTAGCCTAATTTTATTATCGACATGCATGTAGACATTTGTAGCTAGAATGTATATGCTACGTCACCAGTCTTGGCTTTCAGTTGTATTCAGCTGCTTATGATGACTTAAATGGTCTTTTCTTTGAACTTTGCATTTTATATAAGCTAAATTAAAAAACACATCAGAAGATTGGAGAGGTGCAGTTATGTTCAATTTTAAGAGAAGAACTTTCTAATTTTTATTTTGGTGTTAAGCAAAATGACATCTCTTTCACAAATGTGTTACTTTTTTTGTTGTAGGAAACTCAGCGTTTGCTGGCAGAACCAGTTCCCGGCATCAAAGCAGAACCAGACGAGAGCAACGCCCGTTATTTTCATGTGGTCATTGCTGGCCCCCAGGATTCCCCCTTTGAGGGAGGGACTTTTAAACTTGAACTATTCCTTCCAGAAGAATACCCAATGGCAGCCCCTAAAGTACGTTTCATGACCAAAATTTATCATCCTAATGTAGACAAGTTGGGAAGAATATGTTTAGATATTTTGAAAGGTAAGTGTTATCTTTATATGCTATTAAGATTTCTCTTAAGCATTCCATATTGAGAATCTGTGCATTGTAACCTCGCCTTATGTAAAGACCACAGGGGTCTGTGGGAGGGAAATAGAGCCGTCTGGGGCTGTTTTTCCCGTTTGATCATTGCGGTTCTGTTGCCTTCATAGATAAGTGGTCCCCAGCACTGCAGATCCGCACAGTCCTGCTATCGATCCAGGCTTTGTTAAGTGCTCCCAACCCAGACGACCCGTTAGCAAATGACGTAGCGGAGCAGTGGAAGACCAACGAAGCCCAAGCCATAGAAACAGGTACTTCCTCTTCATGCTCCTCACACCACTTCCTCTTTAAAACAAATTAATGCTACCTTTAAAGAATGCCTTTTGTGCTGGTCAGTTGGTTAAGAGCTTGCTCAAGAGTGCGAGCACTGAGCAACAGGGTCGCCGGTTTGATTCCCGGCCCGAGCTGAGCTGCAGCTGAGCTGCCAACAGGTGGCAGGATGGCTCAGCTAAAAAAATAAATAAATAAAAAACGCCTTTACAAGAAAACGATATATGTATATATTAAAAGGAATAGATCAGATCCTTATAATATGTAAATAGATACCTCTTAACAAAAGATGTTCACGCTCTATCTTATGACCTGTGTGACCTCCAAATTTTAAGACAACATATAATTGGGAGGTCTTGGACTCTTGTAAACTACACTTGATTTAACAAGCGCTGAGCGTCTCCCATTCATCTAGCAGTATGTAAAGATAATGGGAATCTTTTGAACGCTTTTGAGCTGTTTTTGCAATACATTTGATTAAATTGCATTAATTTATAGCTAGGGAGTTTGAAATAGGTAAGCTTCTTTTACAGATTATAGCCAAATTAGTGGGGAGCATTGTATATCTAGAAATAGAGGAGACAGCTTTCCTCATCCTGTTGTAGTGATTTAGACATACAATCTTCTGGATCCAGGTTATGGAAAATGGCATTTCCATAATTCACTTCATAGTGTTTGCTTATTTTTTAGTTTGGAAAGTAACATATTGAACCAAGTAAAATAATAATTGCATGTTTGTTTTTGTCTACAGCTAGAGCATGGACTAGGCTATATGCCATGAATAATATTTAAATCGATCTGATCATCAGTGTGCATCATTTCTCCTGTTCTGCCAAGACTTCTTCCTTTTTTTGTTTGCATTTAATGGACACAGTCTTAGAAACATTACAGAATAAAAGCCCAGACATCTTCAGTCCTTTGGTGATTAAATGCACATTAGCAAATCTATGTCTTGTCCTGATTCACTATTGTAAAGCATGAGCAGAGGCTAGAAGTATCATCGGGATTGTTGCGAAACGTTTAAAAGCAGTGGCCCCTCTCTGCTTTTATTCATTTCCCTCATCATGGTTTAAGTATAAAGCACTGTGAATGAAGGTAGTTGTCAGGGTTAGCTGCAGGGGTGTGGGTGTTTTTCTTTGTTTTTGTTTTGTTTTTTTGAGGGGGGAGGTAGTTTTATTTTAACTTTATGGGCTCCTTCCTCTCCCCCCCTTTTATGGCGATCTAATTGCAATGGTTAAAAGCAGCTAACCAGTTCTTTAGAATATGCTCTCTAGCCAAGTCTAACTTTATTTAGACGCTGTAGATGGACAAGCTTCATTGTTTGAACCAAAATGGGAACATTAAACAAACATCACAGCCCTCACTGATAACATTGTGACTTTGCTGTCAAGTGTAGAATTCTCCCTTCAAGAAAAAGCTTGTGACCATTTTGTATGGCTTGTCTGGAAACTTCTGTAAATCTTGTTTTAGTAAAATATTTTTTTGTTATTCTACTTTGCCTTTGTACAGTTTATTTTACTGTGTTTATTTCATTTTCCCAATGTGACAATCGTATTTAAAAATTAAAACTGATGAAACACTCTGTTCTGGTCTTCACCGTCTGACAAATTGAATGGCAAGAGGTAGGTTTTGCCAGGTTCTTTTTACTGATGCAGATTTGTGTTTAAGCTATCACTGAATGGAGTATTTTTAAGCTGGCCCTGAGCATATATATAAAGCATCGGTACCTAAACTTTTTTTTACCGCCTAGAAATTTGAAATAAATATGTGTTGTCTGATTAGCTAGATGATCATTGGTGTCTTGCCACAGTGTTTGAAAATTACTGTACAAGAGAGTCATCAAAGCAGCAGTTGTGACTGACTTTACATGTTGTGCCATGTTTGTGACAGGCATTGGGGTTATGACCTTTTTCTTAGTTCTTGTCTGAAGACTTCATGTGTGACCACTGGTGTGTGTTACTAGGAAACACCAGTCTGATGATCATTTGGGGTTTGCTGAGGCATTTGAGTTTTCCTTAGAGCCCTGACGAGCAACTCTTCAGCAAGCAGCTCGCCTAAGTGTCCTGTTACTGATTCTTCCTTTCGTTCCTCTAGTGTTTGCTATGGGCGCTCCTTTTATTTTTTAGTTTGTTGTTCGGTAATTTTTTCTGCATTGACAGAGCTCCTCCCCTCACAAACTCTACTTTCCCACCCCTCTGCATATCTAATTCTTGATTCTTGTTTTTAAGTCATCAATGTAGCCAGTCTGAGTATGTAAATGTTAACCTGTGGGTCGGAACCCTGTCTCTCGCAGTTTTAAGATAATGGATATTATAACCCATCTGAATTTCCCCCACTCTTACTCTTGTAACTTCTGGAGTTTCTTCAGAATGTGGTGTATTTTATTGTGCTCCTATGTAAGATGGAGAATTATCTATTAAAATTACATTTTCAACATAAAGTTTTTGATGACTGGTAACTGGCATCCTACTAAATAAATGCATTGCTTGGAAACAAATGTAAGTAATTCATAATAAAATTGTTCATAACCCTAATATTGTAAATTTTTAAAAAGCTATTAACAGCAGTTGTTATTTATAACAAGTGTTTGGGCTGTTTAGAGTGTGTCTTGAAACTAAGGAAACTGAATTTCATGCTGGGGCCAAAATGAACACTCAAGCAGTCAAATAGAGATCAGCTTTACTTACTGCATGCGGCACTGCTCGTGATGGCTAGTGTCACACAGTGATTTCTAAGTGATAAAATTCCCCAATTAAATCTATTGCACTATAAAAATATCTAAAATAGTACTTATGTCTACTAAGTTTGTGATAGAAGTACTAAAATAAGTTTTCATTTCAAACGTAATGAATCCCTAATTTCATGGCATGTTTTTTTCTTTGTAATTTTGATGAGTCCTCACTGTTTTGATAAGATTTGCTTTCTCATCCAGTGGGATGAAATGAGCCAGGGTGTTCACTGAGCTTCCTTAGGATTGAAGGGGCTCTGGGAGCAGGCGAGGTCAAGTAGGAAAAGCGGCAGCTGCGTCCGGCTTTGAGCCTGTTGTCCTTGGCCCACACAGTGGCCGGTTAAGCCATTTTGAATTCTGTGCCAACAGTTTTAAAAATTGGAAGATTCCAGAACTTTGGTAACTTAAATGATCTGGCAACAGTGGACGTGACCTAAGCTAAAGGAAATAGTGAATTTCTTTGACAAATACGGTTTACTATGTGCCCAAGACCGGACTACTTGTGGGGGAGGATTAGTTAAATGAGGCTGGCTTGGGGCTATCTTTCCCTCGTGGACTTTCTAAGCTAATGAGGAAGGGGACACAGACAAGCAGTTTTAGCTGTCATGGTTCTCCATGACAGGAACTAAGCACTCGGGAGGGGCTGCCCTCTGGATTCTAGCCAGATGAACACCTCCAGGCAGGGGGACAGCACATGCCAAGGCCTGGGAGAGGAAAAGGATACAAATATTGATAAGTGGCTTCTTGAAAGTCAGCTGTGGCCATTCATGAGCTTTGCTGAAACCCTTAGGTGTTGATAGCTGTTATTTGATTTTTAAATTTTGTTGTAATCTACTTTGCTGTTTGCTTCCATAATAGTTATTTTAGTCTTCTCAGAGGCAGCCTAATAAGACCTGAAAGTGTAGAACTTAAATCCTGCTCTAGAACAAGAATATACTTTAATACAAAAATTCAGAAGCGTTTAAAAATAAGATGCAATACAAATCAATACAAAAGCCAGAGGTCTGTGGTTTAGCACTGTGAAAGGGGAGTGTGGGAAAGGAAATCTGGTATTCGATAAGACACCAAACACAATTTTAGCTAAATGGAACCAAATGGTGTCATGGGAATGATAGGAATCGGCTTTAGTTTTCTTTTTGACGGTCCAGGAATCATTTGGCTACCTAGCCACATCAATTTCTGTTGCAGTAACAAAAGTTTAAAAATAAACACCTAGAAAAGCTGGGTGGGGAGCAGCCATGAATTACAGAGCAGCTAATTCCTCAAGTCTATTTAAGAAAAATGTATTTCCGTGGAAATGTATTTTGGGGTGGAGGGCAACATTTCATTTAGCTATTTAGCATGCTGCTTAGTTTAAGGAATTATATATACCAGGGGCTTATTTTTTAAATGACTTAATGATCACAAAGCAAAACATGTTGAATGTAATAACGTGAAAGAAATACAAAGAATAAAAATCTAATCCACCACCAAGACTGGTGATACTTTGTCTGTTTTCTTAACTATACCCCCTGCACTAATTTCCATTTTATCACTGTGGTTGGAAATTGGGAGGATTGGTGCCAAGAGTTGGCTTTGCCACAGCTTTGTTACAAATTGGGCCAGTTCCCATTGGCTGCAAAACTGCGAGTTGGACTAAAATTTTTCCTAAGTGTAGAACTCAACGCGAAGAGTTTGGATCCTCCCTCCTTTCCCCAATTTGGTCTTTGCTACCCTTCTGCTGATCGCATTTCACATGTACCTGTTGGTGTGGCATCTCAAGTGAACATAGACTTGCCACCAAACAGAACCTCTAAGGACTATGCAAATGTTTAAGTTTCTGACTGATTATAGAAGCATATAGTAGTTGCCTGAATATTTAGACCTTGCTTATTGTCTCTGGTAGCAGAGCAACAACTGAAATCCCATTGTCTTGTAAAAAAAGTACATTTTATAAGGTGCTCATTAAGGAGCTTTAACACTTTTTCCTCTGCTGATCTTCATATCTCTAGGACAAAACATGTTTTAGAAGCAGTAACTTCGTGTCCCCACCACGTAGAATAACTAGTGTGTTTACTTTTTACACACTCCTGATCCATTCTTGAGAACCCATCACATGACTCCTTTTGAAATAGTTCCATGATCTAGATTAGTAAATCCCAATCTTAAATTTCATTATAACCTAGCAACTTTACAAAGTATTCTGGCTTCTGTTCGAAGGACTACTCAAGAGTTACTCCAATTTGTCAAAAGCAGCTTAGACGTGATAGGTTGTTGCACTAGATTTGAACTTGGTGTTTTCCTTAAGTTCTGGCAAGAAGCATTAGGACTGTGGGTAACCAAGGGAGTACGGCCACATTCTTGCAGTCTTTTTCATCTAAAACAGTAAATATTTTGAGCTTTTTCAGGCCATGGATCTGTCTAGAGTAAATTACTGCATTCTGTCGTCGTAGTGAGAAAGTATCCATAAACAATTTAAATGAATAGGCTTCTGTGCTCTGATAAAATTTTAATTTTCATGTCACAAAGTACTTTTTTTATAACCACTGAATGTAAAAACCATTCTACGTGTGCGGGCTGTACAAACAAGCTGGGACTGGGTTTGGGCCTGTAGGTTGAGCTTGCTTCCCTTGGGCAGTGATTGACTGATGACTCACTGCTTAAGTGTTAGAGCCAAATGTCTCTACTTCCCCTTTTAAAAAGTGGTATATTACTGTTAGTGTAATAATTCGAGGAAATATTTCTGCAGGTTTCCATTTTACCCATGACCCTTGGATGGTAACATATACATATTTTGATAAGTTATGTACAGATTGAGCGTTTATCAAGTCCAATTTTTTTTATCCGATTATCAAACATTCTCACATTGAAAATTTCTCAGAACGTTCATTTTAAAATTAAAATTACACAAGTTTTTTAAAAATCTAAAATATGGGCTTCTTTTTAAAAGGTGACCTTTAGGAGAGAATGTTGTATAGTGTTCTGCTTTTTTCAGTCAGCGTTATTGAAAGGACCTCCACCTGTGGCAGCGTTTTCTTTGGTAGCAGTATCTATTGACTGGATGACCATGATGATTTCACCTCCCTATTTGTAATTTAAATTGATGCCAGTTTTATAAATCCTGCAATACACATCTTTGACCATATTTTGTGCAACTTGCCGAAGTATTTCTAGATTCTAGAAGTATGACTAGATTCCCAGAAGTGGAATTGTTAGGTGAAAAAGTTATATTTTATGTCATATAACATTCCCTTGTATTTACTAGTTAACCATTACCCCTTTAGGCATGGGCACTTTATGTCCATGCCTTACTACTTTAAGTTGCCGTATCTTGGAACATAAATCTTTGTCCACATTCCAGATTTCTAGTATAATTACTCGATCAAAAGGTATGTTTAAGTTTCTTGATACACACTGATGGCCAAATAAAGTATCACTTCACTAACTTGAGTGAATTTGAGTACACGCTGAGAAAAGCAGAAGACTTCCAATACTTTTGTACATGTCTGGACTTGTGTTTAATAAGAACCAGGAAATGTGATGTTCAGGGGGTAGTATTCCACACATTGGGAAGAGTAACTTTGGGGATAGTTGAAATCACATCAAATAGAGGATTTTAAGACTAGTTTCTAGCAAAAAGACATGGAGCCTTTGAGTAAATTTGATAGGCCTTAGGGCCTTCTCACCTTAATGCTAGAATTTAGCCAATGGCACTAGTCAGAAAGGTATTAAAAATAAGGGAAAGAGGAACACCAAGGATAAGATCACTTTTCAGTCTAATTTTTGCTACAGCTCCACATGGAGTATTTGGTGGGGGATCATTATTTTTAAATGTTGCTTTTGAAGGTGGTGCATGTAAGTGTAGAAAGAAAAAAAACGCTTGAGAGACATTTTAGGAACTTCTAATGTGTAAATAAATACACCTAGCTAAGTCACCTCTCTACTCCACTAAATGTAAGCTCCTTGAGGTTGGAAACTTGTGCTATAGCATCAATGCTAGGCATAAAGCAGACACTGACTGTGCAACTATTGGTCAACACTGAAGCTTACAGTGTGACAACTAAAATATTAATTTATGAAACAGTGTTGGTTAGAAACGAGACAAAATCAACTTCACAGCAACAGTCCAACTATAACCAATTCATTAAACATTACATTTTAATAAACTCAGCTAATGTTTAGTTCTGTCACTTTGTCTACAAAATTCTGCTTAAACCTGTAGAGAATTCTTGTATTTCAATGTGAAAACAACACTTGAAAATGCCTACCTTTCTCTTTTCCTACAACTGAAATGCGATTTGAGTAGAACTTTTATGTGAGGATTCTAAAGTTGGTTTTAGGCAAACGATATTTTGAGGACATCTAACGGCAGTCAGGGTGCCTGGAGCCAGTTACCCCTCTAAATGGAGATGCAATAATTAAAGTGATGGTAGTGTAGGGAGCATCTGCAACACATTACAACAAAACAGCATCAGTCAAGAGGTCTTGAAAATTATTAAAACAACACGCAACCCCATTAGAAAGGGGGAAGAGCAGACAACCACAGAGGTACACCGTTCGACTGCTAAGATGAGAAATACCCATTGGGAGAGTGCTGGCAACACCTGGGGAGCATTTCCTTTCAACCTGGCAAATTCCACTAGTAAGGACCATAAACTGGAAGTGTGTGATATAAATGTACTGCTACTGAGATAACATGACCATCAATGGGAGAAGAGTAATGTTACTGTGGAACGCCAGACAAGTTTTCACTTGGACAGTCTTATGTTTAAAAAAAAAAAAAAAAAAGTTTATTTCCACTTTTATTTGATGTTTCCAAATATAAAA